AAATAAATAAATAAATAAATAAATAAAAGGCCCATTTACTTTTAGTCTCCTTAAAGGCTAATTGCATTTTATAGATAGAAATTATATGAGATCTTTGATCTCTTACTACCTATCAGGACTACCTCTTAAAATGTCCCATAGTGATTTATTATTCTGATTTCAAAAATATTCATCAATGTACTTCTCCACACTCTCCCATAGAAATTAGCACAATATTATTTTAACTATAAATAAATAAATAAATAAATAAATAAAAGGCCCATTTACTTTTAGTCTCCTTAAAGGCTAATTGCATTTTATAGATAGAAATTATATGAGATCTTTGATCTCTTACTACCTATCAGGACTACCTCTTAAAATGTCCCATAGTGATTTATTATTCTGATTTCAAAAATATTCATCAATGTACTTCTCCACACTCTCCCATAGAAATTAGCACAATAAATTATTTTAACTACCTTGGGAAAGGTACTTTATAATCATAAAGTTATTTCAATCTGAATGAGTCAATCAAACATGGAGACATTTATCCAATGATGGCAGTCACTGTGTCTCAGTGGGAGAAACAACAAAGAAAATAATTAAAATACAGTTTGCTCGATGAGAAAGGGTGGTCCCAAGATGCTAGGAGACTACTGGAGAAACACCAAATCTAGGTTTCAGTCAAATTAAGGACAAGCTGAGCTACCAATAAAAGACAGCAGGAATTACCACAGCAAAGGGAATATGGCTAGCTCTTGCAGAAATGATGCATGGAGGCAAGAAAAGAAGTGTAATAATTCCAGAAACCAAAAGCAGTGATAGAGAATTGAGGTTAGAACAGTAATAAAGGTGAAACTCATGTGGTCGGGTTGAGAATTTTACAGTGACAGTAACAGACAACAAGGGAAAAGCTTTACAGGAGAACAGTGGGTTCTGATTTGCTTATTTGGAAAATGATTTCAGTAGCTTCTGTGAATGGATGGGTGAGGGAGATAGTAAAGAAGGCAGAAACTAGGTGAGAGATGCAATGGGTTTGGTCTCTGTTGTCAGCAACAGGAAAAGAGAGATGAAGTAGGATTCCAGAGGAAGTAAAGAGATGGAACTAAAGGAATGTACAAATACTTTTTGGATATTTCAAGTGACTCAAAGTTTCCTGGCTTGAGCAAGTAGATGCTTAAACACAGAGTATAATGGGATAAGATCAAGTTAAATGAAGAAAAATGATAAAATTAGATTGGAAAAAATTTTACTTTGAAATAAATATGAATCATGGAATGAGATTTCCTGTCTAAGATTAAAATTCCATTTTTGTTCTGCTCTTTGAATGACTGAGATGGGTATGTATTTCCTGTGAGGAACTGGGAGGGCTGGGGTGCACAGGGCATGTCAATACCCTCCATGCAACACAGTAGACTTTGAAGACAATCAGAGGTATTACAGGGTAGACAGATAGCTTTCCTGTCCAAGACAAAGACTATAAATATCTTCATTGCATTTGTGTGTCTAAACAAAATGGCCAGGGAAGGAGTCGGGACTCAGCACACCAAATGTGGCAGATGCTCAGACTACTGAACTTTGTTTGGAATGGTTCATGGTCTGAAGAGAAGCACGCCTGAAGTACTGCTGTAAATAATGCCATGATAGTGGCTGAGACACGTACCAGGACTAGAGGACTGGACCTTCACCATATCCATGAAGGCCTATGCCACCCACCATGAGCCACTAGCACCATGGTCACATATCAGAATGTCTCATTAGAAAGCCATGCAACACCCTTTTTTTTAACCTTTTCCCAAATGTAAATAGAAAAGTAATCAAAACCATTTTTAGCTTACGTGGAACGATATCTCGGTATCTGTTTTTTTGTCGGTTGCCTGGTTCAGTCCCAGATTTGCACTCATCAGACAGGCTCTTACATTCTAAATCCTTTAAAAGGTAAAAAATATAGGTCATGTAGTTACTACAGCCAAAACATATGCTTAGTGTTGGTAATCCTTAAGCCCTACATGACTTGACCTATTATTTAATGTTGTATAATAAACAGAAAAGTTAAAACCTCATTTTAAAAGCGCTATATAAAATATTCAAGTTGGAGATCCCAATCAATGAGATACTTCATAAGAAAATGGTAAATTTCTGAAGATATTTTCCCCCTAAATTTAATTATTGCTATTGTTTTTCATGAAAAAATGAAATACAAAATATTCATTTCTCAAGATCTAACTATAAATCTAACATTTCACAAACAAAAATAACAAAGTAACTGACAAAAGCATACAGACAAGAAAAACTAGTCTTACAATTTATTCCTTGAAGCAACTACAGTCAGGACACCAATTAAAGAATTTTATCACTCAAAAGATTTCTTCACCAAGTGTGAATTCAACAAATACGTATTGAGCATTTAGTGATACCTGGCTCTGGTCTACACATTGAAATACCAAGATGAACCAGAAAATGGCTTCATCCTTAAGCAGTGAGTAGTCAGAGGACATCTGATCAGGCACCATGTAACCAACAGACAGCCTTTGAATTAATGATAGTACCAGACTGTGCATGAAGGTACATGCAGAAAAGTTTCTGAAAGGAAGTAGCACTTGAACTAGGGCTTAGTGAGTCACTGGAAGTTAGCCATGTGGAAGGCAGTATGCATATGGAAGGAAACAAGAATGGTGACAGGGTGTTATTCCAAGTAGAGGCCAGGAAGGTATCCACGTCCTCTTGGGGCAACAGTGGGTAGCATGGAAAAAGGAGCACAGAGAACATGGTATAGTGTAGAGGTAGACTAAAGTAGGAAAGACCTTGTTTCACATATGCTCATGCCCCCATACCCACACAGAATTGGCTCTAGGACCCCTCTGGATACCAAAATTTGTACATGTTCAAGTCTCGTACAAAATAGTGCAGAATTTGCATTTAAACTATGAACATCCTCATATACTTGAAATCATCTCTTGGTGACCTACAATACCTAACACAGTATCAATGATATATAAATAGTCATTATGCTTTATTATTTAGGGGATAGTGACAGGAAACATGTGTGCATATATTTAGTACAGACACAAAGCCTTCTAATATTTTTGATCTTCAGATGTTTGAATCTGTGAATAAGGAGCCCACAGATATAGAAGGCCAATGACACAATTGCAAATGGGAGGTACCAAGTCCTACTCCATTAGAACATCTGTGAGGCAAAGCCGGGCTATCTGGATGTTGTTAAAGTTCTTTGGTAAATCTTGGGTAGCTAACTTGACACCATGGGTCTCCGAAGAAGTGCTAGCAATCACTGCCATGGGAATGGAGGAGCTTGTAAAAGGACTTAAGCAGCAGGATAATGCCATCTGATTTGCAGTGTTTTGCTCACTCTGAAAACCAATTCTAAAATTAAGCCACAAAAATCTTTATAAAGAACCAGAAAAACTTTATAAAGGAAGAGTAATGAAAAGGTCTTAATAGATGGCAAAAGCTACACTAATTAGAAGATTAGAACCTGCACATAAGTCAGAAAATCAACAAAGTCTAAAAACAAATTAAAATATATGAGATTTTAGTATGTGCCAAAAGTAGCATCATCTATCACAGAAGAGAAGATTCAGAAGAGTCATAGGACAAGTAGACAGATAAATAATGCTGGTCTCTATCAAAGACCTTATCAAGGTAAATTTTAGCTGGATCAAAGATTCAGATGCTAAAAAAAAAAATCATAAAAGTATTAGGAAAAAAAGACCATGAAGTAATTTCATGAAAAAAAAAAGAAAATCCAGAACCCTATAACTGCTATATTTGGTTACTAAAAATTACCTATTTCTTCAGCGTAAATAGATATATTTGTGTACACAAGAGTGTGTGATGCACTATAAAAATTTACTATATACTGCACACAAAAAGGTAATTTCTTTGTTTTAAAGAGTTATTAATCAATATAAAAAATAAACACTGGCAAAACATTGAAGCTTGAAGCTCATTAAAATAAGTATGAAATGTTTAAAAAGAGAAAGATATTCCTTGTTCTCAAGTAAAGAAATGACATTTAGATTGCCAGCTAGAAATCATTTGTCTTTCAAGAGATGAGAAAAGATCCCAAAACTTGATAGACAAAACACTGGTTATCTTTTTAGACACACAGAGACATCCATAACCAGGCATAAGAAGAGGAATGACTGCTGCCACAAGAGCGAAGACTGGACTAATCTAAATGTCCAACATGCTGAACTATTTCAATAAATTAAGATATTTATCTGTATAAGTAACTATCATGTTGGTAAAACTTTTGGAAATTATTATTGTTTTGTTTTGTTTCGTTTTGTTTTGAGACAAGGTCTCGCTATGTACTTCAGGCTGGCTCTGAACTCACTATGTAGACTAGGCTGGCCTCAAACTCACAGTGATCTTCCTACCTCAGCCTTCCAAATGCTAGGATTACAGATGTGCACCATCACACCCAGCTTGGAAATTATGTCTTACGAAAAAATTTTTGAAGGGCAGAATGGAACAATTTTTCTGAAAGTTTACATTACAAACAATAGCAGAAAGGAACTCTAGTTAAGAGAAACACAGAGAGATTTTCTACATACTTTAGGCTATCTGAATGTTTTATTATGCAAATCTACTACCTTTAAAATATACAGTATTTAAAAATAAAAGCAATGTGCTTGAGCAAAACAAGGAAGAACAAAAGCAATCAAAACCTCCAGTTATGATACAGAAAAACAAATCATACATAGACTATTAAGGCCAACATATTTACCATAAACTCCTGGCTGATATCATATTCCACTTTTTTCTCAAGAATTTTCAAATAATCCTTGAAGACTGATTGCTTATCAAAATTGAATATTAGTGGTCGAATCTGACTCAACTGCACTAGCTCTCCATCAGAAACAATTTTCTGTGTATCTAAGAAAGAGAGAAATGCACATTTGTAAGTTCATTGTATGAATGTAAAGGGAGATTTTACATTTGTGATGTTATTTTTTTCCCTCATTAAAGGCACAGCTATTTAGCCATTTAAGGGTCATGGAAGTTTATTTTTCTGATGGTAAAGATTCTATCACTGAGACTACCTTTGTTGTTTGTTTTTTTTTTAACTGTACTATATATCTTGGGACTATACAAAATTCACTGATTTTGGCAAAATCCTTCCAGTGTGAAAAATATAAATGATGCAGTAGGCTGAGGAGTGTTCTGTTATATGAAATTGGGTATACTGACAAACATTTAGGCACAAGATTTTGGATTAGGAAAAAGAATGTTTTGCGCTTCCTGGGACCAAGGGGTTTGGAAGTCCCTGGAGTCTGAGATGAGAGGATGCGAAGTCCAACATGCGTCTTACTCCACTAAAGCACACAATCAATATACACAATCTCAAGGATAGAGAGGATCTATGTGATGCAGCTGACACAATAAATAATAAACATAAATCAACAAACAGCCATAAAAGACAGAAAATGCATTCTATTAAATAGGCACATGGAAGTTTTCTTCCTATGACATTTAAAATCATGTTGGCATCTAAGTTCCAAATATCTACAACCTCACATGTCCTATTCACTAGATGAAATGCAGTAAATCTAGAGGCCAACAATAAAAGAATGCTTTTTAAGTTTCAGGATTTTGAAGTAAAATGCTCAAGTGGAACCAGTTCTCAAAATTTCTTTCCAAAGCAAAATAGTATTAAAAAAATAAAGTTCAAACCATCAAAAAATATATAAGAAATTAAAACAAAAAGATAGCAGTTTTTAAGAATCTGCACAGCTTTGAGCAGCTCATCTTGTCTCAGAGCACCACTATATCCAAAGTCCTTTGTAGGGGCTGTTGGTTGGGATAAACAGTCACTGAAATCGTAAAATTCCTCATGAATTGCTCTGACCCAGAGCTTTCAATGATACAAATAGTCTGCTGTGCACCAATGCCATAGGTTTGCCACAATTGCTGTCACCTTTGTATGAGAGGAAGTCTAAACACACTACAAGGAGAGATGAAATTCCCACAAGAGTAAAAGTTATTTCGGCTATCTCTTAGCCCTAATAAAAAACAAAACAAAACAAAACAACCTTAGAGCCTCTCCCAGTGTTCTGGCTTTGCTTGGAAATGAAACTGGGGAAAATGCACAGAAGAAGGGAAGGAAAAGATAGGATGACTGTAGTAGATACTGCTGTAGACTCCCAACACTAATTCTACCATGGTGATTAGTTAATGTTACTCATGATTATTCCACAATAATAAGTTTGCCAGGAAAAAATTCAGAAATAGGACACTAAGTAATTTCATCAAAGGAAAAAGCAAGATTACTGCTCAGAGCCTATGAGAGATAAAAGTGAGTCTCTCACCCAACCCAGCCCTCTGCACAAACAGAAGCAGCATAAGGCCATGGTATCATAGATAGCTCTCTTATAACCATAAAAGGAAAGAGGTGAGTCAAAATCTTAAAAGAAAAAACTGACAACCAATAGTACTATACTCAGAAAAACTACCATTTAGAGATGAAGCAAAAATAGACTAAGACAAGTAAAAAGACAGAATTCATTACCACCAGAAAAGCCTTATAAGAAATGATTAAGGGAGTCCTACACTAGAAATAAAGGGATAATACCTACTATCATAAAAATACACACAAAAGTTTAAAAATCAGTATGTAGGGAAGATAAAGAGAAAAGACTCAAATCTTATTAACAACCAAATCATAAAGGTAAATGACAAGAGAAGATAGGTCATAAAAACAAGTCTCAATAACTTTAAACACAAAACTATGTCATATATCTTATTTGGCAACAATTGGACAAAACTAGAAGTCAATGAGGAATGTAAAAAAGTGACATAAATACTTGGAAATTAAACAATCTGCTCCAACACATGTGTTAAAAAATAAAAACCAAAATGGATATTTTAAAGCATTATTGAAACAAATTCAAATAGAAATACAACGTATCTATAGCATATCGTTAAAACAGGGTTAAGAGGGATATGTTTATATCAATGTGCCTATACTTAAAAGAAGAAAGATTTCAAATAACCTAAGATCCAACTCAAGTAACTTAAAAAGCAAAAACAAACCAAACTGAAAACTACTAGAAGGAATTTTCAAAGATCAAAACAGAAACAAAATACAGACTAAAATAATACCAAAGATTGACGGTACAAAAAGATTCTTTTTTAAAATACAAACTTGACAAATCTTTACCTAGACTAACCAAGAAAAAAGAAGCAAATAAATACAATTAGAGAAAAGGTGACATTTACAACTAATCACACAGAAATACAAAGGATCAGTGACTAATGAACAATATATATCAACAAAATTTTAAAAATAAGCAGAAATGGATATATGAAGTGTGACATGGTAAAAAAATACAGTAAATGTAATTTTATTACAGTAAAAGATACATTGCTACTAGTCCCTTTTAAAATAGTCACCCTCACTTTGAACATTATTATTCCATCCTTTTTGCTACTTTATGAAGCAACTCTGAAGTCTCCTTTCCTGAGTATCTTTAGTTGTATTGTCATGGCTGCCTTGATGTCCTGCACCTATTCAAAATGTTTACCTTTCATGGTCATTCTGACCTGGAGGAAGAGCCAGAAGTTGCACAGTACCAGCCAGATATGGTGAACACGGTGGATAAGGACAAACTGTAATATTTTTACAAACTCACTTTTTCATTTAACAGCATTTAGCAGCAGTATTCACCATATTTTTATACTGCATAAAGACACGAAAGTGGACTTCCAAGAGCAAGAGAGAGCATTTTGAGAGGGGATTAATGGCAATGTATCTTTTACTGTAAAAACTTTTTAAATTCAAACATTTATCATACCTCATATTTCTGGACACCAGAACTGAACCATGCAAACACTGAAAGTCTGATAAAAAGACCCTGAATAAAGAAAAGTCTAAAATGGGTGGCTTCACTATTCAGTTTCACCAAACTTTTAAGGAAGAAATAACATGAATTCTTCTCAAAATATTTTTTTAAATTGGCAGGCAGGGAACTGTTCCAAACTTATTCTCTGAGGCCAGCATTGCCTTACTTCAAAAGTGGAAAAGAAAACAACAAAAGAAGACAGTAACAGATCAACATCCCTGATGAACATAAATAAAAAAGTTCTCAACAAAACATTAGATGCTAAGTTCTTATTATTCAAGCCACTCAGTCTGAGTTACTTTGTTATGAGAACGCTAGAAAAATAACAGAAATACGTATTTAAAAACCTTACAAGCAAATTCCAGGCCCAGATGGCCCAATTGATGAATTCTACCAAACGCTTATTGGTACCAACAATATCAACTCTATATTAATAGTGATGGTGAACTATTATTAGAGCTTTTAATGATATAAACAGCCTGAGGTGGCAAGCATGCCATAGGTGCCCACCACTGCTATGTAATCTCTTCCAGAATACAGAAGAGAACACATCCCAACTAATTTTGTGATAGCATTATTCCAATACTAAAAGCAGAAAAGATGTTGCAAAAAAAAGAAAAAGAAAACATGTCAGAAGAAAACGTATCATGAACATACAGGTGCAAAAAAGAGCCTCAGGAAAATGCCAATAAATAAAATCAAGTAACATATGAAAATAACTCACCATAACTAAGTTGGAATTTTCCTAGGTTTGTAAAGCAGGCTCAATATTTTGGAAGTCAACTTAACTCACCTTTTCAACAAAAGAGGACAAATTCTGTATCACCTTAACAGATACAGAAAAGACATTTATAAATTCAAAAGCCATTTATGGTAATTTTCAGCAAACTACAATGAAAGGAAACTTCCTCAATCTGACAAACAGCATTAACAGAAATCCTATAGTTCACATCATACTTTATGATGAAAACTAGAATGCCTTTTCCCCTAAAGTGGAGACTCTTTCAAGTATATGCACTCTCTTCCTGTTTATTCAACACTGTACCAAAGATCTTAGCTGGTGCAGTACGTTAAGAAAAAGATATAACAAGGAAATATACAGGAAAGGAAAAAAACTGTCTATATAATGGCAATATTTGTATCTACATTGGATATTTAATTTTTATGTAAATATAAGAAAAGAAGTCCTAAAATTAATGAGTCCAGTTGAAAGATTCAAGGGGATTATACAAAAGTCAATCATATTTCTTAACAGTAGAAACAAACAATAGAAGTAAAAATATTTTTACATGCCTATAATTTACAAAAGTACCAAAGCATGAAATACTTGGCTACAAATCTAACAAAATATGAATATTTAGAGTACAATCCACATGTTTAGACTACAAAACAACCAAACACTAATGAAAGCAGACCTAAGCCGAATGAGAACTTCTTCTATCAGGGCAAACAGTTCCAATGAACTAGAAGCTGAACACACCATCAGGCCACCCTGGGCTCCTCACATATTATGACAGAAAGATCTATCTGCTGTGGATTGTGCCTGCCAAGGGGGAATCAGGCTGCCACTCTACAATGGGGAAGAAGGAGTATGCTTGCCATGCAGTGACACTCTGGGGTCTTCTAAGATGATGCCAACAGAAAATCACAACTACCCAAATGAGGCAGAATCACTCAATGGCTCAGATCTTGAAGAACAGATGTTGGGATCATCCCACCAGACAGGGTACCACCATCAAATGAGGGGCTTGTAAGATGAGAGAGAATGGAATAAACAGAAGGTAGTTATAGATAGAAAACACAACCACGTGGATCAAATGCACAACAGGGATGTAACAGTTATGAGTTTTTTATATAAATATTTGAAATGACTAAACCATTTTTTTCTTTTATAAGATACTATGATATTAAAGAAAACATGAATGACTTGGAAAGGCAAAAAGAGATTTTACATCCACTATTGGGGAAGGAATACAACTATCCTGTGTCCAACTGAAAATGATTTCCATAATGCCATATATTCACTATACTGAC